AGGAGCTCAGTGCAGTTGAGGGTGAAAATAGGAAGCATGTACGTGCCTGAATCTGCTCGCAGAACGCACTTGGGGACGTTCTTAGGCAGGGCACGGAATGTATTGTTTCTTTCTATGCTGTGCTGTGAGATCATAGCAGCGATCTGGAGAGCACTGAGCCTTCCAGCCTGCTGCTTGCCAAAGCCAACAGGGGGGAGCTGGGTTACTGCTTCTCAGCTCAGGGGTGACACTGCTGAGTGGCGTTCTGCACCTCTGCTCGTGATACAAAGGGCCTGAGGAACTCGGGAGCTGTTAACCGTGGGTCAGCGCTTCCTCGGCACGTTTAAATTGCACTCCAGCACAAACCTGCCTTGAAGCACCTCAAAGTCTCCGCTTCCTGATCCCCATCCCTAGCCATGAGGGCTCCTCAGGGCTCCCATAGGGATAAGCAACAGGTCCCCCTGCTTTCAGAGGTGCCCGCTCTCATCCAGGGCCAGCCTCTGACCCACGGTTGGCTTTGGCAGCAGTCAGGAGCTGTGGGGTGTCCCCACCGCTGCTTCCCAGTCCTCATCCCAGACCGCGCAGCACTTGGAAGAGGAAAAGGAGGCCGCTTAGTTCACAGATTTAAATGGCTTGCAGATGTTGGAATACCATGTTACACTGGCTGCAGAACGCACGGGCAGACCACAAGTACTGCCGCAGACCAGAACACCCACTTAGTAAACAGCAACCTCCCCATAAACCGAGAGCAACATCCCATTTTTCTGGAAGATGGCTCCAGACACTCTCCCATCCTAAGTCCTGGCTGTCAGCCCTGTCTAAAAGGGGCCAGATGACCTGTGCTGAGGGCAAATCCTGCCACTTGAAAAGAAGAAATATCTCTCTCCTGTGCTTGAACACACCACCTTCACCAAGAGCACTAAGAGGTTCACCTCCATGCCAACCCATGCCTGGTCCTTCACCTAAAGACCTTTATGCCTTGGTTTCAAGGGACATTCAGCACCTTCCAGCTACAGCTCTTGGACACGCAGGCGGAGGTCACCTTTAATGCCCAAGAGCTGCACATCACTTATCTATATTTCTGCCACCATCCTACCTGCTACACCACTGCCTTGGCTGGGCCAGCAAGCAAAAGAACATCCTTACCTCTCTCCACCTTGCTCCGGCACTGCTTGAGACATAGACATTGGTTTTCTTTGCCATGTTCTTGCCAATGGAACCTAGGATAATGGGAGAAATCATTCTTGAGGCATGCAAAGAGATTGCTTAAAATGAAGCCAGACACCTCTAAACTATTTTTATCTGACTGAAGAGCTGATTTTTCACACTATAAATTAATCCCTTCAAAAAGCAAATATTTTGAAGACTATTACAAGTTTCAAAAGCATCTGGGTAAAAAGCTATGGCTATAAATAACATCAAACAAAACGTTTAAGTGTCTTCTTCAGTAGCAGAGCGAGACAAACAGGAAGTTCTGTATGTTCGAGACACCCTTCATGTGGACAGTGGCAGGAAGGAGGATCAGAACGAAGCAGACAAGGTTTCTCACATCACTGTGCTGCAGTAAAATGTACATGCTGTAATTACTGTATGGGGACTGCAGCAGAGGAAGGATAGCAAAATGTACTTTGGTAACCTGCAGATACAAACTAGATGCTGCCAGGTTCCTCATGTCCTAACAACAACGTGCCCCAAGCCCCTGCATGGCCGCAGTACCGGTGGCGATGATCAGTCCTGGTGCCGACTCCTTGGACAGAATGGGCATCCTGCGCAGCTGGAAATTCAGCAGCTGGCTCAGGCGCTGGGCTAGGTGGAGGGAGCAGCCCTGGGAGAACTGGAAAGGTAAAACACAGTTCATTATCCCTCCATCGGGTGCCCTCGTCCCACCGAGTCTGGCTATCTCCACTTGGAGAGATGCTCTCCGAGCGGGATTGTGCTCCAGCCTCTTTTGGAGGATGCTTCTCCCTGCCCTGCACTACCTCACAGTCTATCCGCTCCCCATAGCGCGTCTGCGCTGGGGGCTGCAGCAGCTCCCAGGTCCCCCCTTTGTCAAAGGTGATGACGGAGCGCATGTTCTCCTCGCTGAAGGAGCCGTTGATCAGGGTGGCGATGTAGACACCCCGCACGCCTTCAACACGATGGAAGTCTGCAAAGGGCTCGTTGGCAAAATACCTGCGAGGGAATGCAAAGGTAGGATCAGTGAATCGCAGCCTCCCTGGTCTGGGGAGTGGGAGAATATCAAGCCTGGAGATCAGGGCAATGCTTTGATCAAACGCTACAATGATTATGTCTGATATTCCCCTTAGGCACATCCCGCGTTACCTGACTAAGGTGTCACTTCCAGCTCCTCCCGGGCTGTAGTAGAGCACGTTTTCTAAAGACAAGGAGAACTTCAGGCCTTCTGCCTCTGAGATGTAGAGGTTGGTACGGTTGTCATCATGGCTGACACACACAAACACCTGGTCCTCCGAGGCATCGGCAACATAATATTCCTTAGGAATGTAAATGACAGGTGAGCAGGCTTCATAGGTGTGGGCATACAAGCAGGGTTTACATACAGACTGGTTTAGTGTTTCCTTTTAGCTGGCTTAACGTTACCCTTCCCTACACCCATGTGTATTTCTGCTCAGCCCATCCCCTCCCCAAGCAGGATCATACGAGGTCCAGCTCCTGCAGTGTCTAGTGAAAGGCAGAGAATTGGTGTTGACATCTGAGGGTATCCTTGGCACAGGAGGGAGAGAGGAGGAGGTCCCCTTGGAAAGCATCACTTACCTTAATTGGATGCTTGGTTACGAACTGTGCCACACGCATCGGCTTGCGGTTGAAGGAAACCCAGAGCTGGACCGAAGGCGGCTGCGAGCCGCCTGGCAAACGCTGCGGCAGAGCAGAGGGATGTGTTAGGAGCAGCTCTCACCCCCCAGATCACCTTCATCTCCCGCGGCAGCCAAAAGGCAGCCTGGGGCAGACCCACACAGTGTGATGGGTCTCTATTTGTATGCAGGCAAAACATGGCCTGTGACTGATGGAGACCAGCACCCTGCTCAAGGTCTTCAGGTGGAGGTAAGGAGGCTGGATTTAGGGGTTTAATTCCTCCTCTTTCTGCAGAGCAGTTTGTCCTTTCCTCCCTATTTTTAGCAATTTGCACAAAACGAAAGGCGCCAGCAGGAAGCCGAAAAAGTAACAGGCTGGGGGCAACCTGTTTCGTATGGGATGCCAATGGTAAGAACCTAAACCCAGATTTAGGCTCCAAAAATAAGTGGCCTGGTTTTCCCAGGCTCCGTATTGCTAAGCAACCGCGACTCCCACGGGAAGGAGCACAAGTCAGAGTCCTGGGTGCCTCTAACACCCAGCCTGGCCTCTCCCCATTGCGCTGCTCCCGTTGCAGCCCAGCTTTGATGCAAGTGCCTGATTCCAGACCTGGGGATGTCATTTCCAAATCTGGGGTTTGCAGCCAGGCTGGCCTCCCTCCCAGAGCCTGTGTTTCCCATCAGTCTTTGCCTGAGCACGGAATACAAGGGATTTCAATGTTGTTTAATGCAACACCAGTGATTAGAGCTGTACAGAGAAGCGTGACAGTGACTCTGAGCCTTCCAGAAGCAGAAAGAACCCCCAGATTGAATTCATGCATGGAAAGGCCCCTATACAAACCTGCCTCGCACTCTCAGGATGTTGCCCTGTGAGCCTGGTGGCTTCTCCACAGACACAACCACCCCCCCGTGTCTCACCAAACGCCAACAGCAAGCCTAGATAACATCTCCTGCAAACCACAGCAGGCTTCAGAGCAGGCATAGTGCCAAGGGGATGGGACCCAAGAGTTGCAGGCTGTGCTACCTGCAAGAGAGACTTCTGAGAAACAGAAAGTGCTCTGCAAACACGTCCCCTGGCAACGTAGGAAACTCTACGTGGTTTTGCAAGGAGTCACCCCTAAATGGCAAAGGTTGCTCATTAAAGCAGGCTCAATGGCAGCAGCAGGAGAGGAAAGCAATGCTGGCTTTTCTGGAAGGAATAGGACTCTACCCCTCTGGTGTTGTGGCTCTGATTGTCTAGAAAGGACTTGCCCTCAGAGAAAGCACAGATGCCTTCTAGCTTGCTTTCAGGTTGGTCTGAAACTGTCCCACAGCTGCAGAAGGTATAGGGGGGCCCTGGCTGCAGGGGGACCAAAAGGCAGCTTTCACCTATCCTCTTTTCTTAGGAAAGGAGACTGAAAATCCAGCTTTCTTTCCAGGCTGGAGCACATTCGGCTACATGGACCTCGTCCATGTTTGACAGTAATCCTCTCTGACAAGCGGCCTCCTGACCACCAAGCTGCTGCACCACATCCCCCTTCTCCTCACCGGCTTTCCCAGGCATCCTGTGGCTTTTCCTGGATCCCAGCACTTCCCAAGCTGACCTAGTTCTGCCCAGCCTGCAGAAAAGCACCGAGCATCACCCTCGGTGGTGTTTCTCGCATGATACTCACCACAGATTTGGTTGCAAACATGTATTTGTCCCTGAGCTGGAAGTCTTCAACGTCCTCCAGGATTATCTCTTTATTTTCTCGGCTTTGAAAGAAATCAGTGCTGCGAATGACAGTGGAAGCCCCAGAAGGCTCGTGCCGCTCGATGTACACTGTATTTGGCTTGTCATAGGGCTCAACCCCCCTGGAAAGGACAACGAGAGAGGTGGTGGTGGTAGCTCTGCACCCAGAGCAATGCAGAAGGCAGCAAGTAACAAGGAGCAGGAATGCTTTTAAGAGATGGGGCTGGGGACAGGTAAGAAGCAGGGTAAATGTGGAGCACCCCTGGTTGTATGTGTTGTTGGCTGTCTCTTGTCCTCATGGTGCAGGGTCTCTGCTGGGTTTGGTACCCATGTCCTTGGTTTGCACAGGGCAGGAAGTGAGGAGTGAGAGAAGACAGGAGCTGGGCAGGTATCAGTACATACGCAGGTGTGATACATACCAAGAGAAAGACTTCACATGTTCCTGAATCATTATCCAGGTCTGGCCAAAATCATCTGATTTCCAGAGCTGCAATGACAAAAAGAAAGATGCCAGTGGGACTGGACAACCAAAAGAGACCCAATCCCTTAAGGAGACCCAGTCTGAGACAGCAAAAACAGGATGGACATGTGTCCATCACAAAACCATTAACTACTTTGATGACTTCTCTTTACATGGCAGCTCCCTGGAACAACAGCAATCTTTATAGCTTCAGGAGAGTAACCTAAACCCACAAAATTTGTCCCTACCCAAAGGATTTCCCACTGTCTGTTGCCCACCTGGTTTTACACTAACTCAGACATAACAATAACGTGGTGTGATGTACCGATGAAGGGCGACAGCAAGGGTAAATATCTGGGCAGAGCCTCCTCCCCCTTGGAGGCTGTTGCATCCCCAAGCACAGCGACAGGCTGTTGTTGTGAACATCAGTAAGGTAAAGGTCAGGAGGAGAGATAGCATCTTCCACTGCACCAATGAGAGCAGCAGCAACGAACACACCAGCCCGCAGGCACATCAGCTCCCCTGCGGATCCTGTCCCCCAAAGGTGTCCCTGAAACCAAGCACTGTGGTGGCACCCAAACTGTGACTTTTGCCTCTGTTTTGCAGGTACATGGATACAGGCAGCCAGACCCCAGCCTCAACAGCCAGGCCAGCAGGGAAGGTATTGCTCCTAGCCAGCTCCATCCCCCTTGGAAGGCATCAGTGGCACCCAGCACGCACCCGGTTACCACCAGACTGCAAACACTGCAGACTGTATGCATCCCCATTCACATGCTGGAGGATGCTTGTTTTGCTTAAGCTGCCTGGGTCTATCTGGAGATGTTGTAATTACTTACAATCTTTGCCCAATAGCTCCAGGGGAAAAAACAAAGTGTTTGTTTTCAAGAAGCAATTTGTTGTGCAAGACCCAAAGCCAAACCACATGCCCACATGAAATACTGCAGAGGTCAGTTCTGCCTCAGTGCCAGCACTCCGTGGCGAGTTACAGCTGCAGTAGCTGGGGAGATCAATACAGCCAGGAGAAGCCTGGAGGGACCAGAATATATGAAGGAAAAGGGAGAGGAAATCTTTAAGGAAGCCATGCTACAGGTACTACAAACTCGCTGCTGCAGAGGTCAGAAACCAGACTGACCTGTAGGAAATGGGTGTCTTGGCCAGTCTGGTACAGCTCTGCATGCAGTGGTCTGAGATCAGACACCCTGCACAGTCAAAGCGTGAACCCACATGGTGCTGGCATAGGGCAGGGTGTCTCTTGGCTCACTGTAAGGTCTATGGGGCCTGGGGGAATGCCACAGCAGAGGCAGGATGCTGGCCCTCCCATCTAAGCAGAAGTGCTCACCTGTTTCTTCGGATGAGACCTGTCGAAGCCCAAGAGGAGGTTGGGGTTCCTGCTGTGCAGGAGGAGATCTGCTGCTCTGAAGGGGATCGAGAAGCCCTGGATAGTGCTGCAGAAGTCGGTGGTGATCCAGAGGTACGGGACAAAGGCATCCACGAAGATATACTGGGAAGAGAGGGACCAGCAAGGAAGAAGGAGAGCAGGCAGTCAGGCTCCAGGAGGTCAGAGCAGAGCTCAGGCTAGCAATAACAAAGGCACGCATCCCGGGGGAGCCTTTGGGAGGGCAAACTCTGGAAGAAAGGAATTTGCCTGCCAGGAGAAAGGTGACCTTGGTGTAGATAGATAAAGCCTGAATTAACATTTGCGGCTGTAGCTCTGTAACAACACTAGTGATGGCAACACAGCTTGTCACTCTATAGGGACGAGTTGCTAAGGATGCAGTACCTTTACAGATACTCCTCCTGTACCAAGGAGCAGCTGTACTGCTATGGGCACTGCCACCATGGCACCGAGGACCACGCATGTTTGTGCTGTTGGTGGCAATGAAGTGGCCCTGCCCTGCAGCCTCCTCACCCTCTTGTTGTCAGCTGGGCTGTGGTAGAACTGAGCTATGGCCACCTCGCTGCTGTTCCCTGTGCTGAAGCCGAACCTCTCCGAAATCTTCTTAAAACTCTTCCCGTAGTCGTAAGATACGTAAACCTGCAAAGGAGAAGCCCCACAGTGACACCGTGCCTGGTACAGCAGCAGAGCAGGAGCCCCAGGGCAGCACCGGGCTGCATGACTTACATCGCTGTTTTTAGGACCCAGCAAAGACAGGCTGTCTCTGGCCAAGGCCACGATCACGTTGCTCTTCTCTCCAGCCCAGTGAACGACCATCTGATTGTGGGAATCGTTGAGGCTGACCTGGAACACCAAGGAAAAGGGCACCCTGAGGCCCAGCTCCACACCACACAGTGGTGGTCCAGCATGGCACCACGTAAAGCAGCATCTTTCATGAGCGCGTTGGCAATATGCGTGCTAGTTTTCCCTTTATAGAAATAGGATTTGGGAGATGTGAGAATGAAAACTAAAGCCAAGGACAGAGATGGGATCTCAAATCCAGGCTAACTAGGTGAAGGGCCACAGGGAAACAGGTCTGCAGCAAGTTCTTCTGTACCATGAAGGACGTGCTGGTTTCCAACACAAATGCAGCCATACACGATCCCGTTATCCCCTGTGTGTGCATTGGTACCTGGCAGCACTGTATCAGCACCAGTCATGAAGGACCACTTTTGATGGGGAAGCTATCTCAGCACCACTGTGGCTGGAGCTGAGGGTGCAAGAGCCTCTGGGCAAGCCTGTAGTAACCATGAGCAGCAAGCAGTGGCTGTAGCTCAGCCACGGATGTGCATGCCTGAGCCCCTGCACACCAGTATAGCTGCAGCTCAGCCGATGGCTGGTGACTCCTAAGCTCATGGGAAGCTGTAAAAATACAGGGCTAAGCCTTCCTTAGGCCTGGTACTCTGTGGCTCCTGCTGTGACCCCAGGATCAACGAGGTAAGAGGCTGATTTAACCTCCATCACTGACTGGCAAGTAAAATGCTTGGGAAAAACAAGGTCTTTATTCTGGAAGAGAGAGGGGTGCAAGTGAAGCAGAAGCCCTCAAATCCCTCTTATGCAATAGGTTCATATAAGCAGGGGGGAATTAATCAAACCTCCATGGCTCCAAGCTACACTGCCTGCCTCGCCAGAGGACCCCCCCCCCCCCCCACCATGCAAACTATGCTGTAGTACCCAGATAGCAAACACAGCAGAGATTTAGGTCAGGCAGCAGCAGCTACAAAGCAAGCCAGCAGTAGCCTTGTGTGCCCGCTGGAAAATAAAGCAGCGATGCTGTTTGAGGATGCAGGGGAAACAGGGCAGAGAAGGAATTGCTGATGCCCATAGAGACAGCTTTGGGTTTGAAATCCAGAGCAGCTCCCAGCTCCAATCACCCTCCTGTCCTTTAAAAGCAGAATAACCCCATCTGTTATCTCCTACATCTCTCTTTCAGTAGCACTTTGCATTTTTGCTCTCTACAGGAAATCCAGCACTAGGACAGCTTCAGAACCTGAAAACCACAGGAGACTCCTGCCTGCATCTTGCTTTGAGCACAGCAATAAAGCTCTACAGCTTTCCCCTCCATGGCCTAAAAGACATGGTAAGCCCCAGGTAGATGTATTCTCAGAGCAGGGACACTTGTGTCAGTCCCAAAGGCCAAGGACACCTGTCTGGGCTTTTTGGAGCCAGCTGAGCCTCCTTATTCATTAGGCATATGACTTTAGGCAGCATAATTAGGGCAGAGCCCCTGTATAAAGGCCAAACTGGGGTTGAACAAGGTTTGGTCCTCTTTTAGGAGGCAGGAACAAAAAGCAGCACTGAGTACATAGGGACTGTGTTCAGCTGAATGTTTAGGAGTAGCTGAAGACTGCTGGAGCGTGCCTTAGTAAAGAGAGAGAAGACAACAGAGGGATGCCTTATGCTGTAAGTCTCCCTTACTCCCCATGAAGGGGCTCATGCAGCAGCTTGTCAGGTTTAGGAGCCTCACCCATTAGTGTCTGCCTGTTCCTGGTGCAGGACACCACAGCCAGCAGCCCTGCTATGGCCCTTTGGAGCTTTGTGGGGACCCAAATGGCTCAGGGGAGCCACAAACAGGACCCCAGGTCTTTGCTGTCTGGCAAAGGACACGTGGGGCATTGTGGCCCAAGTGAAAAGCACTTGATGTCTCATTGTCCAGGATGCTTTTTTTGCCCTAGCTTTGCAATAAGGCTGTGGTTATCCCCAGCATGAATAACCCTGCCCTGCTTGCTGGGATAAGGTTTGTTTGGTAGGAGCTCACTGTTCCAGGCTTCCCTACCTCCCCTAACAGGGGAAACCTTCCTCAGGAACTGGTTTAACCTATGAAAGGGCAATGGCTGGTACCTAACAGAAACATCATTTAGCATAAACTCCTCTTAATGGGGAAGTGCTTTGGTCTTTGCCAAGTGATTAAGTGTATATGAAATATGCATGAAATTCTAACTTGTCCTCCTAATATGCAAGATGCTAAAGGAAGTCCAGGAGGGGAGAACTGGAGCCAAGGCATAGCAGAGGCTGTTTGTAGCTCTGGTTAATGTAGTTAATGCTGCTAGCTTTGCTCACACCAGATATTGATTTTTTCTGTTAACAGTATCTTCCAATGACTTAATCCCCTGCAAAAATGAGGAGAGAAAATAGCCCCTGGAGCTGCTGTCCCATGAAGCACACCCCAGGGCAGGTAAGAGCTCCCTTGTGGCTCAACCCACCCTGGGCTGGGAGGGGGAATGTTGTCTCGATGTGTGGTACTCCGCTGAGACAATAGTACTGCCTTGCCCTACTGAGGCAATGACAACGGGTAGGTGAGTGGACCTGGGTGCTAAGTGTGCAGTGCCAAGCTCCTTAAGCACCCAGTGCTGGGGGGAGTGCCCTGATCCTGTGTTCCTCAGCACCCGCAATTCCTAAGTGGCAGCTCCTCTTCCCCTCACATCATTTTCAGTTGGTTATGCCCAGATTTAGAGAGGTTAGTGCTCATCAGGGGTGGCTCACCCCTTGCACTGATGAATGCAGCGGTAGCAGGCCAGGGGACGAGAGACTGTGGCATGGGTATCTCACTATAGCTGATCTCATGGCTGCATCTCAAGCCTTTCCATCACTGAAGGACTCTAAATCTGAGCCTTTGAACCACCAGTGAGGTCGAGATGCTCTGCGTGGGAAGCATGAACATCCCCATGCAGAAATCACACCATTAGCTGTGATGAACTGCAAGCAGCTACACTAGTGACTTGTAACGGTGCCTCGCACCCGTGTGCAGCGACAAGTGTCAGGACAGCATTAGGGGCTATTCTAGGTGCTGAGTAAGCTTGGAAGCTAACTGTGTGTGTCGATGGGTTTGCTCTGTTGAGGATTAATGTTCTGGCTATAGGACTTGGACCGCAGCTCGACCCAGGCGCTTGCTATTAATCAGGAGGTGACGCAGTGCGACTGATAGGGACTGAAGCTCAATGCTGTAAAATCAGGGGTGTGCAGAAAAAAGAGACCTGAGGATCATTTATGTGTTTTCTTGTCCGGATTATGCAAGTGGAGATGGGATGCCTACAAATAATGCCTAGGAGATTTCTGAGTAGTTAATGGGTTATTACTATGGCTTGATAAGTGAGGGTATTGCAGAGCAATGCATCTGTGTAGTGATGAATGGCTGTTGGAACCCTCAAAGTTTAGCCAGCAACTCAAATCTTGACTTGAAGTCTGTCAGGAGATGCTTGTGGAAGGGGAATCAGCTAAACATTTGGTACCCAATAGCCAGGGGAGTGAGGATGGGGCTGAAGAAAGCTATTGCCGATAGGAGTAAGAAGTGAAGTCGCAGCTCTGTTAGCACAGGCTTTAAAAGGCACGGCGCTCTCACCAGGCTCCTCATCATTCCAGCTCGCTGGAAGCCGCAGTGGACAAGTGCCGGGCCTGTGCGTCCCGGTTTCCTCTGCTCCCCCCCGGCAAGGCTTACGCAATAGCCTGGCATCATGGAGAGTCGAGTGTCATGGGTGGCTGCTGCATTCCCGGCACGCCACGCTCCCACTAAAGCTTCATTACTGCACCTTCTGCTCTGCGCCCGAGCATCTGCTTCTAGCCCTGCCGTGGTATTTGAAAACACAGGCTGTGCCTGCCATAGCGCTGCTTGTGGCTTGGACTGAAAATGCCAGGGTCTGAAATCATTGATATGAAACACGGGTGACTCATTTCACAGAGTGCCAGGCCCATGTTAATTTTGTTAATACTGAAATCATCTGCTTTGCAAGGCTGTTTTCTCTCTGCTACCAGCAATAGAGCTCTCTGTTAGCTGTTGTTTCTAAGGAGGAAGGAGGGGGGAGATGAGGTTGAGGCATGAGTCCTGCTTACCCCAGAAATGAGCAGGTCCCTCAGTGAGAGGGTCCCATAGGTCGGGGGATGACAGAGAATTGAGGTTGCGCTGGTAAATTTGGGTAAGTGCTGCTGAAAATCACTCCTCCATAACTAAGGCACGGAGTAAAGCAGCAGAAAAGGTCTAAAGCGCTGCCGGTGAAGCGTGCCATGAGCTGGTTATTACAGCTACAGAAGCTTAAGCGATGCCTCTGGGACGCTGCAACGCTTGCTTAGTCCAACAGCAGGATCTGAGAGGAACCTGCTGAAGGGAAAACAATGAATAAACCCACAAATACCTTCCTGGCTGCTACCCTGCCAGGAGCAGGAATTGTGTAGCTTCCAAAGACCTGTCTCTCCTGGCAAGCTCAGGCACAAGAGTGAGTGCCAGGAGCTGGGAACCTTCGCAGGGCGGCTGGGAAAGGGGCAGATGCAGTGATGGGAAGGGCTATCTGCCAACATGAGGAAGGATGAAAAGGCTGAGGAGTTCTTCTCCTCAGCCCTTTGTTAGGACATGCCATCACCACCCAGTGCACCTCCATCATCTAAAGTCTGATCTGGGAAGGTCTCTGCCAGGCTGGCAAACTAGGTCAAAATTAAGTACGGTTCAGTTCCAACGCAGTGATTGATGTGTCCGTTCACATAGCTGGATGGCATTTGCCCTGCACTTCTCTCCTTCTCTGAAAGAAGAAAGGCTCTTTGACAGTTTGCAGGTTGGGAGGGAAGGGAGCTAAGGTGGGACTCCCTACCTGGGATGTCCTAATGGCCTCAGAAGAAGAGAAACTTCAGCTCTCTCTGCTCAGGCTCTATCCTGACCATAAACTCACAGTGTTTTAGGGTAGTTTGCCAACATGACCCAGGCCACTCTTGTCCTTTGCACTGAAGGCAGGTTTGGATGTCACCAGGAAACGAGAAGCTTGAGAGCAATGAAGTCGATTGCCCCAGAAGGGAAGGAGATGAGCTGGTTGTTAGGGCAGGCAGTAATGCTGGTTCAGCGGATGGGGAGGCACAGAGGTGATGGCCAGGCACAGAGTAGGAGGGGGGGGGGGGGAGTCTCAAGGCCTCAAAGAAGTAAAACGGAGGGTGATTTGGCTGCTGCAGGAGCAGCCAGTGGTTAGATATAAGATGCCTTTAGTCTCAGCATGGTTTAAGGCAAAGGTTTCTTGTGAGTTGCATGATTTTGGGGGAGGTTTCAGATAAGCCCTTTCCAAAGAAGGGAAGGGGCTGTCTGCAGACAAAGGTTCGACCTGTACGTGTGTATTTGCAGCCCAGCAGTGTAAATGCTCTCTGTAACTGTGATTCTCTCTCTTGCCCCTCAGGACTGGCAGACAGAGGCTGGCCTCCTGTTCTAGCTACGACATGACACTCACTGGACACCAGCCTTATGGGCACCGAAGATGCTTCAGCCCAGCACACAGGTAGGCAGCCAAAGTGGCTGCTTTTCTTTCCCTTCTCTGTTGCATTAAGTGAAGTCCTTGCAGGTGATGCGGTTTATGGCTGGTTTTCCCTAAGAGGGGACAGGATTTACAGGATGTGCCCCAGAAATATAAAACCCTGGAGCCAAGTACCCTTATCCAGGTCTGAGTAGGGATGTGTAGGCAAGAGCATGGAGGCTGTTAAAGGACTGGAAGGTGAGCTGCAGCCTTGGTATTCAGGGGCCTGTGACAGGAAAAGGAGGGCAGTGTGTGGTGCTGTGGTTGCTGGAAGGGGTTTGGGGAGTGCTGCTGAACCTGGGGGGTGTAGGCAGCATTTGTCTTGCCATGGGGATGCTCCTCTGCTGTCAGTGGCAGCCTAGAAAAGACCTGTCTCACGTGAGTGCTTTCTTTGTGCCGGTCTGTCCCCTGTAACGCTCGCCAAGAGTCCCGTAGAAGTGAGGGCTGTGCAAGGGAACAAAACCCACTCTGTCTCAAAGCTGATGGTATCTGGAATCGTGTGTTTGGTATCTTGGTTGCTGGTGCTTTTGGAGTGAGAAAAGCAGAGGTAAAGCTACAAAGGCACAGGGTTTTAGGCTGCTGGGCATCTTATTCATTGAGGTTCCAGAAAGTTTTGCCACACATGCAAGCTGCGGAAGCCTGCCCAGCAAGGATGTGATCTATGGTGAGGATCTGGACGAGGAATCTTATGTCTTTGGTGTCTATGGCAAGAGGGCTCTGAGCCTGTGTTTGTTACTGACTGTGTTTGGCTCCTGAGGAGCCACAAGGGTTAGGACTTTCTTCCTCGCTTCTGGCTTGTGTGAGGCATCCTTCCCTCTTGCTCTGGTCCCCCAGCATCATCACCCATGGTAGCAACAGGCAGCACTGACCTTCTGCACTGTGCTTTCCTTAACCTCAGAGCTAGGCTGGGCTCTAAGCTGTCCTACGAGGCTGTGTTCAGACCACAGTTGAGAGCTGGGGAAGGGCAGGGAATTTCAGGGCACAAGCCAGCACGAAGCATATGGCTAAACAACCTGCCAAATGCACAGGAGCAGGATGTGTCCCAGATAAGGGACTGCAGTAGCACAGCACTAGGATGCTCGGTCCAAGCATTGCTTCTTATGATGATGTCCCTGATACAGGACCACTTTTTGACTGCAGGATTTTCTGGTGCCAGTGCCCAGAGGACTTGGGGATCATTAGGTGCTTGTGACAAGTTGTGAGACCCCTCAGCATCACGTGCACAGCTTTCTGGCTTCCTAGGTGTTAGCATCTCCATGCGGTCAGATCTGTACAGGGGCTAGGACACACAGGCTCCCTCTTGTCCCTTTTTATTAAAGCAGACCCTGATTTAAAGCCCTGTGTAGTGCCAATAAACTCTTCCTGGTGACACGAAGGACCTGGGCTTTAAAACTCGTACATCCTGTTCTCCAGGCAAATCCCCTCTGAAAGCTCAAGGCAACAAGGAAAGACCAAACAGTGGCAAACTGTTGAACTGCTTCCTATTAGTTCTGTTGTGGATAGCACCAAGGTTACTGCACTGCCTTTTAGCTGCAGCTGTATGACCAAGCAATAGCGGCTGCTCCTACCAAAGCAGCTCTTTACCTGCCCCGGGCAGGTGGCTGAGATGAAAGCCATGGGGAGACAGAAGGGCAAGTGCCACAAATGTCTTGCTGTGGATGAGAACCAAGTGCCATGTTTGTTCTAAAATGGGGGAGCTGAGTTATGCTAAACCCAGCCAAATGTTGAGGAGGTAGAAGAGGAGGCGAAGCAGATTTTCAAGGCAAGGAGGAACAGCTTTTTCTGTCCTTTACATGGGGAAATGAGAGCAGGGCTTTAGGAGCAGCACCAGCCCCTTGTGTGCCCCTCGAGCAGCTCTGCAGCCAGCCCTGCCTCACGGCCGGCTCTTTCTCATCCTACAAGTAACAAAAAGGGGAAATCATAGGGCACCCAAAGTGAAAGTGTTATCTAAGGAGGTAAATGCAGATGTTCCTCTGCGGGCTGGTGTCCCCGTGTCCCCCCTCTAGCAGCCTTTCAGACACATGATAGGACACAGGCAGCATAAGCAAGGAGGGTTAAGTGGGGCAGAATCTTTAAGGCTGAAGCTTTCCATTGCAGGCACCCGGTCAGCTCGAGTATAATTCCTTATCACCCCTAAAGTGATGGTTGTGTGGAAAAGGGAGGGCAAGGGGGAGCCTTTAGGGTCCTGCCAGCAAAACTTGCCAATGAATCAAGCCCAAGAAGGGATACTTTCAGAAATAGCAGTTTCTATGGGTTTTTTTTCTGATGAGCAAGTCCTCTCCCCCTCTTTCTCAAGGAGCAGTAGAGGATGGATTAAAAATGCAGTGGAGGAGCCCTTCTTAAGGAGAAGGTCACGGTGCCTCTTCTATCAGCCACCTCCCTCTGCCCAGCTCCTGAGCATCGAGATGCTCACCACGAGCATCCCTGGGTGAGGAGCTGCTGCCCACCGCCCGCAGCAGGGAACTGCTTCCCATCCGGAGAACTAGCAGAGAGGGGACAACCTGGCCCATCTCCCTAGCGCATGCCCTTGGCCACCCGGCAGCTCCCGCTGGAAACGAACCCTGGAATATAACCCGCAAACCTGAGCAGTGCCACTACTTTGGGAAGGCTCTGGGAGAAACGGGAAGCGGGAGGGGGTCAGGGATCAGCAGCGCGCTTCGAACGGGGCAGCGACCCGTACCCAGGGCCCGCCGGGCATCCCTATGGGGGGACCCCCTCCATCCCCCCGCCGCCAGCCCCGTGGGTACCGCGCCCGGTGCCCCCATCCCCTTCGCGTCTCACCTGCCCGTACACCTGGATGGGCTGCGGCGCGGGGTCGGCGTGCGGCGGCAGCAGCGCGGGGTGCCCGCCCGCCGCCAGCAGCAGCAGCAGCAGCAGGAGGCGGCGGGGGAACGGCCCGGCCCGGCGCTCCCCGCCGCTGCTCCGCGTCGCCATGTTCGAGCCGCCGGGGGCCGCGGCCGGGGCCGGGCGGAGCGGAGCGGAGCCGCCGCGCCGCCGCCCGGAGAGAATGTGCAATGGGCAGCGGAGCCGCTCCCCACCACACCCCCCCAACCTTCCCCGCGGGGTCCCCTCCCCGGAACAAGGCGCTGCGCCCTCCTCGGGGGATGCTCGGGACCCGAGCGAGGTACAGGGAAAGGATGGGGTTGGAATGAAGCCAAGCGGAATGACGAGAGATGGAGGCAAATTGCACGAGAGTCAATGGGATAAACTCAAAACGCGTCAAAAGCATTGCAGCATCTTCCTGCTGCGGGGATGCGTGAGGTTTTCAACCCACCCTCCCCCAGAAGAGCAAAGCTGCACTTTTCCTCCCCAGCAGTGCGTGACCCTCAGCCATAGGCCTAAAGTACCCCCAGTATCAGTGGGAAGTGGCGTGATTGTTCGTACAAGCACCCAGGCTGAGGTTTAAGTGTTCAGGATCTGCTTGGCTTGTGGTTTGGAACCCTTTCCAGCCTCCTGGAAGCTCTCTGCTGCTCGCTCCCACAGGTCCTGCTCACAGCAGTGTACCTGGTCCCTCTGCTTTCTCCAGGTCAGCTTCTAATCAGCTTCTCTGGTCCTTTAATTTCTGTTCCCAGGAAGCCCCCTTTGGTTTTAAACACCCACCAGCCTTGCACAGCCATGCAACTGGGGCAGCAATGGTCTTCCATGCATTGGTTTGAGGCTCCTTGCTATGTCTTACGTGTCATGGGAAAGAAGAGCAGCCAGTAGAGATGTCTCTTTCCTATAGCCAAAGATGTGTGAAGTCTGTGTGGTATAAATGCATAAGGGAGATGATCCTGCTGCTGTCCTGGGATTTCTAACACTGTTGGGAAAGCTTCAAAGACAATGGATGTGACCCAGCAGTGAAGGAATGGGAGTTTCTAAATCCCATGGACAGCACCAAGGCAGTCTCGTTCCCCCTCCCTTCACTTACTTTAACAGCAGAAACATTGTCCAGTGCTTTCCCTGAGGTGCTTTCACCTAGAAACCTAGTTAATGTATTTCAATTACCAAGTCAATACAATTATAAGCCCTCCTAATAAAGCTTTTAGCGGTCTTCACTCAGTGTAATGTCCCTCCAGAGGACTGGAGGTCACCATGGGTAAGGGCAGAGGGAGTTTTATTGCATGGGAATCCCAGTTTCACTCTGGAGTGGGCAGCTGAGAGGCACCCAAAAAGGCCATGGCATCATTCCCAAAAGCACTGCCATGTCCGGAGGTCCATCCCATTGCACATGAAATGACTGTTCTTTGCCAAATCCTCCCAAAAATCAGGAATAGTGCGGGGATAGGATAAGAAATAGTAAGAAATTAGCAACTGGCTTTGTTAGCACTTTGTAAAGGGAGGAATTTGATGAGTGGTGGGTTCAGCATCCTCCTCCTGGCCTCTGTTGAGCACTCCAAGCAATGGTCCCTGCTCCTGCCTTGGAACTCCCTGTGCCAGGTCCCTGTGGTGAGTGCAAGGGTGGTATCAAGGACTGCTTGGGTGAATGCAGTGCTGGTAAATGCTAGCAGATGAATAGCTCTTTCTGTGTGCAGGGAAACACACGTTTCCTTTGCCAAGGTATTTTTTTGTTTCTTGAAAAGAAAAAGGCTCCTGCTGTAGAGGGGAGGGGCAGCAGAGCAGAGTTGATTTGAAGGTCCATCTGGATTTCATCAGCAGCAAATACTGTGAACTCCAAGAGCAAGGCGAGGAGCCCCTGGCCCCCCAGGTTTCCTTCCCCTCTCCCATTCACCTTTTCCTGGTGTAGCTCTAGAGGTTTTGGAGGGTTTAAAGGACCACGGGGGCCAGAACAGCAGCCCCCCCACAGAGCCTCAATGAGACTGTGGGTAGAGTTGTTTAAAGGATGCATTCATTCCATGTTGCTGGAATTGGGGAGTGTTTAAGCAGCCTGATCTGAGCCCCAACAAGTGGGGATGCTGGGGATGAGAGCCCGTGAGCAAACCAAGGTGTGTGTCCAATGAGCAGGTCTCTGAGCAGAGCTGGGAATTTGCTTTTGTTCTGGTTTATGTGGGAGGATGAGGGCACATCTCCCCTGGTAAAGTGGGCCCTTGATGATGCTGTAGTTTGCTAAAGCAATGGGGATGCCTGGGGCATTTGTGGATCTGTTCTGCAACTAAAGTACTTATTATGGTTTGTGTGACAGGTTTTCTCCTCAGCCCAGGGAATTATTGCCACAGAGGGGCCCTTCAGTGGCTGTCTGGCAGGTCTAACAGTCCCAGTGACCTTGGCACAAGGAGCTGCAATCTCAGAGCGCGCTCTCGCCCCAGTGCAGTTGATTTCCCTGTGCCTTCCCTTGTCTTTGTGCTTGACAAACATCCAAAGGCATTAGCATACGCTCGCCACTAACAGGCTATAAACCCTCAGTCCCAAGGAACCACACAGGATAAGACATTCAAAGCCAGTAGTGTGCTGTCTTGTGAGCCCAGGCCAGCCGTGCCTTAGGCAGCGTCTGGCAGCTCCGGGATGCCGCTCATGCATCCTGCAGCACAGCAAAACCTTTCCTGTCTCTGGGCCCCATGCTTCTGGGGCAGCAAGGAGGAGGAAGGCTGGCCATGCAGGTGCAGCTCCTGCTTGCTGGTGTGCAACATCTCCATCTTGTGGTAACAGCAGCACCAGGGTCCCAAATACATAACTGCGTTTGGCTGTTGACCGCTTCTCACTCCCCAAGTGTCTTTCCATGGATTTCCTGCTCCAAGGTATATGCCTGACCACCCCGGCAATGGTTTTGTGCACACTTTAGGGGTTGGCAAGCCCACTGCTGTGCATTAGGCTTACTGAAGGCAGAGAGACAGGCTGACGAGAGAGCCTAAGGCTTTTCCCAAGGGTCTAATGTCAGGAAATATTAGGGCAAGGTTACCGTGGTGGTTTGCTGTGATTTGACGTGGGCTTTGCCTTGACCCTTGGCACTTCTCCGGGCTCCAAGTTAATCAGCAAACAGGGGTCAGGGTTCCCTGTGCAGCTGGGGGAGAACAAGCTGTGCAGGGAGGTGAAAGCACAGCATGGCCCAGGAAGGTGACTGCACCAGCAGGAGAACAGGACCTCCCAGGGCAGGCTTTCCCTTGTGGCACAGGCATCTCTCATCCTGTTGGGTGCCACGTGGTGCAGTGATGTGACCTCCAGCTGTATCTTGCCTGTGGGATGGCTGAGATAGAGCATAGTTCCGCAGGGAACAGCAGAATCCTTTGCTCTAAGGGGTTTTGTGTCGCTGTAACCCTGGAGGGGGCTCACCAGGCATAGGAGCCTGGCTGTATCATGCCAGGGAAACATACGTGTGCCCTTTACTCCAGCACTCTCCACGTGCTGCATGTGAACAGCCTCTGGTGAAGTCCCAGCCCATCCTCACAGCTTTGCATCAGTCTGGATGCATGTTCTATTTTTCTATTTTAATTTCTATTCTAACAATAGAATATTATATGTTGTATTTTTCAGGTGACATGAATGGCTTCAGGAGCGAGAGCAAAGGGACCATCCAACAGCCAAGTTGGCAAGTAAGATTTATTGAATGCAGGTCAGACCCCAAAGTGGGATGACCGGGTTTCAGCAGGAAGCACATCGGGCATTAAGAGGAAAAACCAGCCACGAGCCCTCAAGAGCAGAGCAGCCCCCACCCCTTCCTCCTGTGCTCCTACTCCTTCCCCAAACGCAATGTCCTCAGGGAGCCCTAGGGACCCACAGGACTCAATGCCTCTCTTTGTCCTACAGGATGCTGCTTCCAGGATACACCCCTTCAGCACCCTGCAGGACATCCCTAAGAGAGAAGAAGGATGAGAGCATGTCGAGCACTGAGGAATCACGCTGCGTCCTGAGGCCGCACTGAGGAGCCATGGGGAGGATCCACATAATTCCAAAAGGTTGGTGTTTGCGGCTTTTTTTCGTGACACACAGCTCAAAAGAGACAGAAAACCAAAAAGCAGCATCTTCAGCATCTTGGCCGGACTTGACTGCACTCATCCCAATGGACTCTGTGTTGGCAGCGGCGGATCGGCGACAAAGGCATGGAGCACACACAAATGGAGACCCTGCTGCGAGCGTGTTATTGTTCTGCTTGTGCCATGTTATTGTTCTATCTGTGCCATTGTTCTTTTTGTAAAGCAGCAGCACAGTACTGAAGGGACCTTAGTAGAGATCCAAAGGCAGCTGAATTGGAACAGGGGGAGCAGGGCAGGTCTGTAATGTAGAGTGAGGCTGGACTCCGCCGTTTCGGGAGCAGGGAAGAAGGCTAGAGTTCTCACCACGAATCATCCTGTGTCATTCATGCCATCAAGGGACAGGGGCTCTTTGCCCGTAGGAAAGTAGTCTCAAGGCCAGGGAGGAACAGGATGAGATGCGGCCGGGGAACCTCATCCCAGAGAAGGAATAGGCTGGGAAAGCCTACTCAGTTTTGGAAGCCGGGACACCATTGGGTACCCCCGGCTCTTTCTCTCGGAGCTTGCGCAAGTAATCGTGGGGGCCTTTGCCCTCAAAGGCCGTGGGGCTCTTGTAGGAGCCACCGATCTTGTCCCAGAGGGTGAAGTACTGCCCATAGTTGTAGTCAAAGTACAAGTGGTGGTCGGTGTGGTGGGCCGAGCCGTTGATGATGTGCCGCAGGAGGCGAGGCACGCGGTAGTCGCCATCGTGAATGGAGATGGTCCAGACGTTGACGAAGATGTAGAGGCCCAAGTAGGTGACTTTGTGTAGGGGGAAGAGGAAGGGGTAGATGTGGTAGGGCAGGCTCTGCATGAAGCCATCGACAGGGTGGAAAGCATGGCTGGCGAAAGGCGTCGCAATCTTCCAGAGGTGGTGGGGCTTGTGGAAGCGCTGCAGGGAGAAGGTGCACTGTCAGTGCTCAAGGCTGATGGTGATGGTGCCCTCTTTTAGGGGGTTTTCTGGCCGGGGCAACTCATTGCCCAGGGGCTGTCACCACTCAAAGGGCAAGAGAAAGATGTACACCCTCATGGGCTTTTGGTTCCCACTGCGTTGTGGACTGAGGTGGCCTCCTACAGCCACACCAACCCCACTGTTCCACCCACATGCTCCCAGGGAGGAACATCTTAGTCATGGCCCTGGAATGGGATAAGGGCTCTTGTCTGGAACCCACCAGACCCATCTCGTACCTTATAGAACAGTTTGTGGTGGAGACCACGGTGTATCCAGTAGATGCCCATGTCAGTGAAGAATAGGAAGGACAGCATGCTGAGGAAGACACCGGACCAGCCTGGGGGAACAGGAGTGTTAGGGGTCCTAGAAGGCAGTGAGGATCTGGGGTCTGCAGGGGCCAGGGAGGCACATATGAGTCACACTGGGGTCTGTCCCACCAGGGAGATAGGGTCAGACAGTCTCCTGGGACTTGGAAAAAGTGAGCCAGGCACTGGTTTATTGGGAGCAGCACCCAGGGAAGTGAAGGCCTTATTTTGTGGTGTGGGACATGTGTCAATCAGTCTGTCCCCAAGCCAAGGGTGATGGTCACTTCCTCATGCTGTCCTTAGGGGAACTTGGGATTGTGACTATTAGGTGGGACCAGCTGGAGGCAGGAGGTACCAGGGGTGGACAGTTCTGGACTCGTACAAGGTGCATCATCATCAGGAGAAACAGGGGCATGCCACTAGCCAAAGCATTGGCCTGGCTGGGGACACAGGGGAGCAGCTCACCATACGGGGAGTCCTGGATGTTGTCATACAGCTTGCTGTAGCCCCGCACCTCGGCGAAGAACAGGGCGACAGTGGGCACGCTGATCCAGGGCAGGGAGCGCAGCGCGTAGGTGATCTCCCGCTGCACTTGGTTCTGTGAGGATGCAGCAGGAGAGAGTGGCTGGGGGGCGAGGGTACTGCAGGAGGTGGGCAAGAGCCCCCAGAGCCCCCATGTCCCAGCCTCTCATGATATGTGTGCTGTGGTGTGGGGCACAGTGTGATGCCTGTCTGTGGAAAGCCATGCCCGCAGCACGACAGGGTGCTGGGTCTAATGCACTGTGCAGATGGTACTTGTTTCTGGTCAGGAATGAATGAGGGCATGGATGGGGACCAGAGGGATGAGTGAGGCAGCCTGTGGCTGTTGATGGTGGAGAGTGGGATGTGATGAGTGTATCGGTAGGGCTGGGTGTTTACTGGGGCAGGGGGTGACCCACAACTGGAGTGTTCAGTCCCAGCCTTAGGAGGACAGGGCAGTCTGGCATCTCTGCCAGACTCATGTCAGGGGTGGTCTCTGAGCTTATCTCGGTGCCTGTAGGGGGCTTCTAGGGGCTCAGTTTGGAGGTTGAGGAGGGGATTAAGTCAGGCTTGTTGAGCCTGGAGAACAGAAGGCTCAGGGGAGACCTCGTAACTGTCTTCCAATACCTAAAGGGGGGCCTACAAGAAATCTGTAAGAAATATACAAGAAATGGTGGCACGCAGTGAGAGGACAGGGGGGAACAGTTGCAAACTGACAGAGGGAAGATTTAGATCAGATATTAGGAAGAAATTATTTACTATGGGGATGGTGAAATGCTGGAACAGGTTGGCAAGAGAAGCTCGTAGTGTTCAAGGCTAGGTTGGATGGGGCTTGGAGCAACCTGGTCTAGCGGAAGGTGTCCTTGCCCTTCCTGCCCCTGGCAGGGGCTTGGAACAAGATGAGTTTTAAGGTCCCTTCCAACCCAAACTATTCTGTGATTCTATGATCCCATGAGCAGGGGCTGATATATGGGAGAAAAGCTGGGGGGGTGGCCTGGGGTGCACCCACCTCTAGGAACTGAGGATGTTTCTTGAGTTCATGGTCAAAGATGAAGTAGTAGCTGAGGGTGCCAAAGAGGAGGTAGAGGGCGAGGGCCCCCAGGTTGGTGATGACGAAGAGGCTGAGGAGCTGGCGGAAGGGCTCGCCTTCGGGCCAGCCGGAGGGGTACACGTAGGGTGTGAGGATGTGCTGGTCGGCAGCAGCCAGGACCAGGTCCATGGTGGCTCCTGCGGGAAAGAGAAAGGGTCAGTGTGACTGGTTGCGGGAGGTGTCCCACCTCTGCAGCCCCTGCTCAACCATGGGGCTTATAGGGGTCGGGTCCAAGCACTGCATTAGATCATGGGGGCAGAGAAGCCCTTAGATGCCTCACGCATGGTGGCAGGGAGGTCCTGATATGCCTCATGTACCTTAGCCAGGTGTGTGAGGCATGTCAGGGAGATGGAGGTTGTGGGGTATAAAGCATCTTCCATGGTCTTTATGCCGTACAACAGGTACGGGCTCCCCTGTTTGTAGGACAGGGTCCCATCCGGGTGAAAGGGTGGCAGCGGTGTGTAGGCTTTGGGGAGCACAGGCTCCTGTTTAGGCCAGCATATGATGCACGGTGGGGGGGGGCATGGCAGCATCTGTCGCTCTCAGGGCGATCCCAGCAGCGCCTATCGGCGGTCCCGGTGGGAGCGGGGCGATACCGGCGCAGGGGGTCGGGATTGATGCGTTTGGATGCGGAAACGCGTCCGGGCGCGGTGTCAGTGCCAGCGGCCCCGCGCCGTGCGTACCCCCCCCCCCCCCCCGCGGTGCCCCCCTTCCCCTTCCCCGGTCCCCCCGTACCTGCTGTGGGTCCCGGAGCGGCGGCGGCTGCGGCCAACCGGCGGGGGGGGAAGGGACGGGGCGGGGCGGGGCGGAGCCTCCCGGTATCGCCATGCGACGTCACCGGCGGGAGCGGCTCTCGCCACTGGCGGGGGCGGTGACGTTGCGGAGGGGCGGGGCTACGGCGGTGACGCGTGTAGGGAAAGCTGTCGGTGTGTGCGAAGGGATGCAGGAGGTGGGATGTTGGGATGCTCTTCCCTAGGAGGGTGGCAGTGCTCAAGGCCGGCTTGGAGCAACGTGCTCCAGTGGAAGGCGTCCCTGCCCCGTGCAAGTAGATGAGCGTTAACATCCCTTCGAACCCAAACCATGCCATGATAACCGAAACAGGTGGTTGTGTACGCAGTATTTATTCCCAAAGGTCTGGAATGCACCTTGTTGTGTAAAGCAAAGCCCAGTTTGTCTGCTTTGGGTGAGCAGAGGAGGGGTTGCTGCGCCGCAGTGTGCTTCATGCTGCTGCTTCTCGTGTAGGGTCAATGGTGGTTTATTTCATGTTACTAAACACCTGTGTGCCCTGTGACCCATAGGGAGGCTGTGGGATGATGGGTTGTGTGCTAAGAAACCAGTCTGTCCTGATGGTAGGGATAAATACGGTGTAAGCTTTGCAGTGTGCGTTAAGCCATGTCAAAATGAAGGAATTTCCCAAGGCATGATTTGGAATGGGTAGGTCTATAGATGGTGAGCCAAAGTCTGTGCAGATGCTTAAAAACCACTGCATATTCCGAGTTTTTTTTCGCAGAGCAATGCTCTGTTCTCAATGTCCCCGTTCTGCTTTTGTGAGCAGGAATTAAGGCATAAGTATGTAAGTGAGATGGCGGTGATTTAAACTGAGGCACGCAGACCCTATAACCAAGAATTCGTAATCATTTCCATTGCTGTTTGTGGTGACAGGATAGCTGCAGTGGTGATTTCTCCTCCCTTTACCATAGAGGAGAAGCATGGGTGTGTTAATGCCTGTTTTCAGTCATGGGAGGATGGTACAGTAGCTTGATCTTTCACTTGCCTGCTCTCATATTGTCATATTTTAGTTTGTGATATTTTTCTATGGAGCTTAATTATCCTTTGATAAAAAAAAGATAGTGTTCACTGATAATGTAGGAAGAAGGGCAGGAATACTGTCAATTGTCTTACAGGAGCCCTTAGGGACAAAGTCTGCTTTGGTTCGTAAGGGGAACTTCACTTTCCCGAGTTAGTTTTTGTAGCGGTGTTGAACAGGACACATGGATTGGGCAGTACGTGGCCCATTGTAAGCTCCAAAGAATCTCTGTAAAGGGCTGTGAGTGCCACAATTACATGAGGTTTCTGTCATTAAGTGCTGCAGGTTGTTTTATTGTTGGATTATGAAGATCTTGGTGTGTGTAGACTCGGTGTTGCAGTGATCACAGGGGAAGAGGCAGGATTGTCAGGAAAGAAAAGGAGACAGTGATGCTGTGGATGGGGAATGGCTCATATGAGGGTTTCCTGATTCAAAGTGATGGATCTTGGAATCCATAGTAGCAAAGTCTGCAGTACAGACCAGGGCAGTCTGGGACAACTGGTGCCAGTGTGAGATAGTTCAGATTAACTAACTGGTGTTTTAGTTATCATTAAAAATGAAATCAAATGCTTCATAAACTAAAATGCATTGGTCGTAGCTTATCCTAAAGCATACTTGTTAACAGTGCAGGTAATAAGCCTGTTGTATTATTTGTCTACCACCTTTGTAAAAAATGATATGAAAGAGTTAGATAATAAAATTAACTGCCCGGATTGATAGTAGCTTATCCCTAAGAAGACTTGGGAATAGGGAGTGCAGGAAATAAGATTTTTAGGACACATCCTTTGATATTAAATTGTTGTTACATTAGGTAGTCTGGAGAAGACGAATTGAGGAAACCTGATGCTCTGGTAAAAATCTATCAAATAGTAAAAGTAAATGAATTTTCAATAGCTTATATAGGTAGATACTGGTGTGTGTGTATATATATATGCAGCTATATATATAGGGTACACAGTAACTTACATAGGTGTGTATATTTATGTATTATGGTATATATTCATTATATATGGGTATATATATGTATTTATATAGTTATATATAATATTTGTATTTATATTTATTTGTATGTATTTATAGATCCTTGAATAAAATATATTTGTATTAATACATAATAGGGTGTTTATTAATTTATTTGCATTTATTTACATATAATAGGGTATAGATTCATTTATATCATAGGGTCTATCTTCATTTATTTGTATTTATTCATACAGGGTATAGGTTCATGTATGTGCATTTGTATTTATGTACAACAGGGTATATATTCACTTGTTTATATGTAATGGGATCTATATTGATTTATTTGTATTTATATGTATTTATAATACACTGTATATTAGTATTTATAAATCTTTATATAAAATAGGGTGTCCATTTATTTGCATTTATATGTAATAGGGCATATATTCATTTAGTTTTATTTATTCATATATAGGAGGGTATAAATTGATATATAATAGAGTATAGATTCATTTAGTTGTATTTCTATACTGGGGTTTATATTCATGTATTTGTATGTAACAGGGTATATAGTCATTTATTTGTAATTATATATATTTATGTAAAACAGGGTTTATATATAATAGAGAATAGATTCAGTATTTATATATTATAGGGTTTCTATTGATATATATGTATTTATATGTAATACAGTGTATATTAATTCATTTGTATGTATTCATATGTAAATTCATTTATTTATATGTAATAGGGTATAGATTCAGTATTTATGTATTTATATGTTATCGGGTTTATGTTTATTTGTATTTATGTATAATAGGGTATAGATTCATTTATATAATAGGGAGTATAGTCATTTATTTGGATTCATATATTTATATAAAATAGGCTGTATATTCATTTACGTGTATTTATTCATGTATGACAGGGTATTGATTCATTTATTTGTATATATACATTTATATAAAAAGGCTGTATATTCATTTACGTGCATTTATTCATGTATGATAGGGTATAGATTCATTTTTATGTATTTATACATTTATAGAAAAAGGTTGCATATTCATTTATTGTATCCATTTACGTGTATTTATATATTATATGTGTATAGTCATTTATTTCCATTTTTTTAATATATATATAATAGGGTATAAATTCATTTATTTGTATTTATGTAAAATGGTGTGTATATTCATTTATTTGTATTGAATTATAAATTATAGGGTTTCTATTGATTTATTTGTATTTATATGTAATACAGTGTATATTCATTTATTTGTATGTATTCATATGTAAATTCATTTATTTATATGTAATAGGGTATCGATTCAGTATTTATGTATTTATATGTTATCGGGTTTATATTTATTTGTATTTACGTATAATAGGGTATAGATTTATTTATATAATAGGGAGTAAAGTAGTTTATTTGGATTTATATATTTATATGAAATAGGCTGTATATTCATTTACGTGTATTTATTCATGTATGATAGGGTATAGATTCATTTATTTGTATTTATACATTTATATGAAAAGGTTGCATACTCATTTACGTGTATTCGTTTACGTGTATTTCTATATTATATGTGTATAGTCATTTATTTCCATTTTTTTAAATATATATAAAATAGGATATAAATTCCTTTATTTGTATTTGTGTAAAATGGTGTGTATATTCATTTATTTGTATTCAATTATATATTATATTGATTTATCGTGATTTTTTTGTATTTATATGTAATACAGTGTATATTCATTTATTTGTATGTTTTCAAAAGTAAATTCATTTATATGTGTTTTGGATTTATATATTTATATAAAATAGGCTGTATATTCATTTACGTGTATTCATGTATGATCGGGTATAGATTTATTTATTTTTGTTTATACATTTATAGAAAAAGGTTGCATATTTATTTTATTGTATTCATTTACGTGTATTTCTATATTATATGTGTATAGTCATTTATTTCCATTTTTAAAAAATATATAAAATAGGGTATAAATTCATTTATTTGTAAAGGTGTAAAATGGTGTGTATATTCATTTATTTGTATTCAATTATATATTTTAATTGATTTATAGTGATTTTTTTGTATTTATATGTAATACAGAGGATATTCATTTTTTTGTATGTTTTCATATGTAAATTCATTTTTTATGTATTTTGGATTTATATCTTTATATAAAATAGGCTGTATATTCATTTACGTGTATTTATTCATGTATGATAGGGTATAGATTTATTTATTTGTGTTTATACATTTATAGAGAAAGGTTGCATATTTATTTCTTGTATTCATTTACGTGTATTTATATATTATATGTGTATAGTCATTTTTTTCCATTTTTAAAAAATATATAAAATAGGGTATAAAT